CGTCTCCCGCGTCTGCTTGGCCTGCAGCTGTTGCTTGCCTGTCGTGTGTTGACCATCCAGTGATTACTGTAAGTCTACATTAAAACCGCACACACCGCACACACCGCACACACCGCACACACCTTTTCCCTTTCCCTTGTCCTTTTCCTCCTTTTCGATGACCTCGTGCAGGTTGACGAAGGTGCCGGGGAAGGGCCGAGCGTAGGTCTGCGGGTTCTTCTCCAGGTCGAAGATGAGCGCGATTAGCCGACTCTCCAGCCAGCCCAGACTGAGAGAAAATGTTAGTTGAAAGCGAAGAGCGAAGAGCGAAGAGCTGAGGATCGGTGAGGATTGGAGCGCGTACCACTTGGTGACCTCGTCACTGCTGAGCGAGTGGACCTCGACCATGAGGTAGTAGTGGTAGTCCTTGAAGAAGTTGGTGGGCTGCAGCAGATCGTTCAGCCCGGCCTCGGAGTTCCACTGCGGGGCTTGCGTGATGTCAAACGCTCTCTGCGTTCAAGTGACACCAACATGAGGAAGAAACGAATGGTGAGCGCGACTGCATGCGTGTCGTTGTATGCTGTGTGTGTTGTGAGTACATACAAAGAACTCCTGCTGCATTTCGGTGAGTGTTGATCGCGCCACATTGCGTGCGGAGTTGTTGAACGGCGGCGTGGGCGTGACAATGGGCATCTTGTCGCTCTGCATGGGTAAGAAATGAACATTAACAAACATGTCCAGCGCGACACATGAGCGCATCTGAGTTTTTTTTGTACTCAATGCCAAAGAAAAGCAAATAGAAAAAAAAAGCAAACAAGCAAAAAAAAACAAAAAAAAATAGAAGACTGAGCGCACCTTGTGGCCGGGCTTGTATCGGGCGGAGCCGGGGGTGATGGCGACGGGCTGCTGCCAGTCCCAGTGGTTGTAGACCTCGAAGAACTCGGCGAGCAGGCGCTCCTCGATCGAGAGGTCACCATCGCCGGACGCCGCGGCGGCCGACTTGGCGTAGAGCTTGGAGTTCTTGCAGACGTAGGCCACCAGCACGGACCACGAGAAGCCGCCCAGGAACCCGACAGCATTCGAATACAGTCCT